ATGTGTGGACCGTCACGGCAAAAATCACCAAATATGTCACACAGATGAAGTCTTGTATGTCAAGCTCTGTTTACTCACCGAATGCCGCAATCGTTACGACACTTTCCTCAACTCATGCAGACGCCCGAATCCATCCAGGGATTGTGAAAGAGACAGGGAAAACTTCACCTTGTTGTGTGGAAAGTTGTTCTTCCTATAAGGTTGTCTCCTGTATATGGTCCGCTGCCTATCCTTTCTCTAGGTGTTTATTTCTTCCGTTATTTATATCCGTGAAACCACCACACTCAGAATGAAACCCCTGTTATTTATGCTTTTGAAACTACCACATTATAGTTTGCAGTCTAGAGATTTCTAGCCATAAACGACCAATGTAAAACTACCACCCTAAAAGTACTACTTCTAGACTCAATTACTTATATGTCTGTGAAACTACCACTTTCTGGAATCTATTCACGTTATTTATACCTTTAAAACTACCACAGTATTGACTCCCTTCCTGTGATTTATTGTCGTAAAACTGTCATATTATAGAAATAATTCCAATTGTCTAAATCCGTGAAACTACCACAGTTTGGAATGAATTCCTCATGATGTGTACATGGAATTGTTGAAGGGGAACAACAGCATTGTCCATCTTCAACAGCAAGCAAATAAACAATAAAGTAAAATGGAAGTAGATCTCGTTGATTTCTCTTGACAGCCACGAGACCAGACTGAGAGAGTTTGTGTACGATGGTGTAAATGTGAAAGTTTGAAACATGGTAAAACACCCTCATGTAAATTGGGTAAAAAATCTTAGACCTATATTATCGGTCAATCGGTGAGTGATGTGATCGCATTTACTTCACAGGACTATACCTGGTACCAATGTTAGACTGGGTCGACAGAGAAACCAAAACCGAAACGACGCGGATTTAAACCCACGACCTCACAGCACGCAGACGATCATCTAGCCGTTAGACCACAGTGGCTCGACTCAAAGATTAAGCTGTCAAATAAATATTATGTTCGATGAACCCGGACAGTTCTGTTGGATGAACCCAGACTTGAAGGTTCTTTTTGATGAACCAAGACTTGACAGTTATTTTTGATGAACCCAGACTTGAAGGTTCTTTTTGATGAACCCAGACTTGAAGGTTCTTTTTGATGAACCCAGACTTGAAGGTTCTTTTTCATGAACCAAGACTTGAAGGTTCTTTTTGATGAACCCAGACTTGAAGGTTCTTTTTGATGAACCCAGACTTGAAGGTTCTTTTTGATGAACCCAGACTTGAAGGTTCTTTTTGATGAACCCAGACTTGAAGGTTCTTTTTGATGAACCTAGACGTGACAGTTTTTTTTTTAATGAACACAGACTTGAAGGTTCTTTTTGATGAACACAGACTTGACAGTTCTGTTGGATGAACTCAGACTTGACAGTTCTGTTGGATGAACTCAGAGTTGACAGTTCTGTTGGATGAACTCAGACTTGACAGTTCTTTTTGATAAACCCAGACTTGACAGATCTGTTGGATGAACCCAGACTTGACAGTTCTGTTGGATGAACCCAGACTTGACAGTTCTGTTGGATGAACCCATTCTAGTATGCTAGTATCCGGTTGGTCTGTATAACTATGGGATAGCACAATATGCCCCTGGTAGCAAGGCTAGAACAAGAGTCTACTTAAATTCCTACATAGTTGTCTGGTCTCCTACACACACATGCCTAAACACTAATGCCAAATCACACATGCCTACACACATGCCTAAACACATGTTTATACACTCATGCCTACACTCATGCCTACACACATGCCTATACACATGCCTACACACATGCCTACACACATGCCTACACACATGCCTACACACATGTTTATACACTCATGACTACACACATGCCTACACACATGCCTACACTCATGCCTACACACATGCCTATACACACACGCCTACACACATATCTACACAATGCCTACATACACGTGCCTACACACATGCCTAAACACACACGCCTACACACACATGCCTACACACACACGCCTATACACACATGCCTACACACATGTCTACACACATGCCTACACACACATGCCTACACACACATGCCTACACACACACACACATGCCTACACACACACGCCCTATACACACATGCCTACACACATGCCGACACACACATGCCTACACACACATGCCTACACACACATGCCTACACACACATGCCTACACACACATGCCTACACACACATGCCTACACACACATGCCTACACAAACATGCCTACACACACATGCCTACACACACATGCCTACACACACACGCCTATACACATGCCTACACACATGTCGACATACATGCCTACACACACATGCCTACACACACATGCCTACACACACACGCCTATACACATGCCTACACACATGTCGACATACATGCCTACACACACATGCCTACACACACATGCCTACACACACATGCCTACACACACACGCCTATACACATGCCTACACACATGTCGACATACATGCCTACAGACACATGCCTACACACACATGCCTACACACACACGCCTATACACATGCCTACACACATGTCGACATACATGCCTACACACATGCCTACACACACATGCCTACACACACACGCCTATACACATGCCTACACACATGTCGACATACATGCCTACACACACATGCCTACACACACATGCCTACACACAAGACAACAACATCCTCTCTCTAGGCACTATGTTGCAGTCTGTTGACAGTCACATGTTCCAGACCTGGTTGAGGAAATTATCTAGCGAAGAGCCAACCCCAGCCAGTCCGTGCATACCAGACCACCACCTGGTCCTGACATATATCTCCACACATATGATGTGCTAGTACCACCACCTAGTCCCGATGTATCTCTCCACACATATGATGTGCTAGTACCACCACCTAGTCCTGATGTATCTCTCCACACATATGATGTGCTTGTACCACCACCTAGTCCTCACACATCTCTCCACACATATGATGTGCTAGTACCACCACCTAGTCCTGACATATCTCTCCACACGTATGATGCAAGCAAATAGGAAACCAACCTATGAAACTCACAGTCAGCGTACCAGCGACCGTCTACCCAGCTTACCATGGACCGTCTACCCAGCTTACCAGGGACCGTCTACCCAGCTTACCAGGGACCGTCTACCCAGCTTACCAGTGACTGTCTACCCAGCTTACCAGCGACCGTCTACCCAGCTTACCATGGACCGTCTACCCAGCTTACCAGGGACCGTCTACCCAGCTTACCAGGGACCGTCTACCCAGCTTACCAGGGACCGTCTACCCAGCTTACCAGGGACCGTCTACCCAGCTTACCAGTGACTGTCTACCCAGCTTACCAGCGACCGTCTACCCAGCTTACCATGGACCGTCTACCCAGCTTACCAGGGACCGTCTACCCAGCTTACCAGGAACCCTCTACCTAGCTTACCAGTGACTGTCTACCCAGCTTACCAGGGACCCTCTACCCAGCTTACCAGGGACCGTCTACCCAGTTTACTAGTGACCGTCTACCCAGCTTACCAGTGACCGTCTACCCAGCTTACCAGGGACCCTCTACCCAGCTTACCATGGACCGTCTACCCAGCTTACCAGCGACCGTCTACCCAGCTTACCAGGGACCCTCTACCCAGCTTACCAGCGACCGTCTACCCAGCTTACCATGGACCGTCTACCCAGCTTACCAGGGACCCTCTACCAAGCTTACCAGTGACCGTCTACCCAGCTTACCAGGGACCCTCTACCCAGCCTACCAGGGACCGTCTACCCAGCTTATCAGGGAGCCTCTATCCAGCTTACCAGGGACCCTCTACCCAGCTTACCAGTGACCGTCAACCCAGCTTACCAGAGACCGTCTACCCAGCTTACCAGAGACCGTCTAACCAGCTTACCAGAGACCGTCTACCCAGCTTACCAGAGACTGTCTACCCAGCTTACAATGCAATGCACCAACCAAACAGCCAATAAATGTATTATCCAATAAATGAACTAGCCAAAAAAAAAAAATTATAAATCATCCAACAAATAAACTAACCAAACAACTAACAAATCATTTAACAAATAAAGTAAACAAAAAAACCAATACATTATCCAACAAATGAACTAAACAAACAACCGAAACATAATCCAACAAATGAACTAAACAAACAACCGATACATATTCCAACAAATGAACTAAACAAACAACTGATACATAATCCAACAAATGAACTAAACAAACAAACGACACATAATCCAACAAATGAACTAAACAAACAACCGATACATAATCCAACAAATTAACTAAACAAACAACCGATACATAATCCAACAAATGAAAAACAAACAACTGAACTAATCCAACAAATGAACAAACAACAACTGATACATAATCCAACAAATGAACTAAACAAACAACCGATACATAATCCAACAAATTAACTAAACAAACAACCGATACATAATCCAACAAATGAACTAAACAAACAACCGATACATAATCCAACAAATGAACTAAACAAACAATCGATACATAATCCAACAAATGAACTAAACAAACAACCGATACATAATCCAACAAATGAACTAAACAAACAACCGATACATAATCCAACAAATGAACTAAACAAACAACCAATACATCATCGAACACATGAACTAAACAAACGACCAAAAAAATCATCCAACGAATTGAACTAAACAAACAATCAAAACATCATCGAAAACATGAACTAAACAAACCACCAATACATCATCCAACAAATGAACTAAACAACCAATAGATTAGCCATAAAAGGAACTAAACAAACAAACAATACATCATCCAGGGAATGTACTAATAAACAAACAATAAAAGCAAGCAACAAATGAACCAAACATCTACAGCATCATCGCTAGCCGTACAATGAAACTAGGATCGGATCCTCCATCCCAGATGGCGCTGCTAATGCTTTTGCCGAGTGCCACCCACTTGGCGCCCTAGGTTGCGTCATTTTTTATTCACGGTTGTGAGCCTGTGGATTGTTTAACATAATATCAGATTTGAGACTGGGTACCATTTAATATAATATCAGGTTTAGGCTGCGTACCATTTAATAGAATATCAGATATAAGATTGGGGACCATTTAATATAATATCAGATATAAGATATCACCAACATCAGTAAAACTACATGAGCATTGTAACAGACTCTACTCAGAATGCGACATCTATGAGATGAAGATCAATGTAGAGAAAGCAAAAGTAACGAAGAACTACCAATATCAACATTGATAAACACCAATTAAAGCAGGCGAAGGATTTTTACATGAACCATTTTTTAGAAAAAGAAAGAATTGATAAAGAGATTCAACAAAGATGCAACAAAGCCTGTGAAGTTTTAGGCCTAATGGCACCAATTATGCAATGAAAGCATGTAAATATAAATACTAAAAGAGCACTGTTCAACACAATGTTTTTACCAACGCTACGCTATCAATGTCAAACACAGACACCGCTTCAGAATTAGAAGCAAAATAGACATGATCACAAACTATGCTAGGCGTTGCGAGGAAGGATCGACTTAGGAACGATGATATCAGAAGGATTGTCGGCATAGAACCAATACTGAACTTTATAGGTAGACAACAAACCAAATGGTTTGGCCATGTAACAAGACTGGAAGCAGACAGAGCACCACAGAGAGAAATGTTATACAGAAACAACGGTAACAGAGCCAGAGGTCGACCACGCAGAATATGGACGTCAGAAATATCAGAGACGCTAAAAAGTGCTTTATACGATAGAGGGACAGGTAGCCAGTGCCACGTTCACAGTGACTGGGAGTCAGTGCCGCGTTCACGGGACAGAGAGTCAGTGCCACGTTCACGGGAAAGGGAGTCAGTGCCACATTCACGGGACAGGGAGTCAGTGCCACGTTCACGGGGACATGGAGCCAGTACCACGTTCACAGGGACAGAGAGTCAGTGCCATCTTCACGGGCCATGGAGTCAGTGCCACGTTCAAAGGACAGGGAGTCAGTGCCACGTTCACGGGACAAGGAGTCAGTGCCGCGTTCACGGGACAGGGAGTCAGTGCCACGTTCACGGGAATGGGAGTCAGTGCCACGTTCACGGGACAGGAAGTCAGTGCCACGTTCACGGGGACATGGAGCCAGTACCACGTTCACAGGGACAGAGAGTCAGTGCCACGTTCACGAGCCATTGAGTCAGTGCCACGTTCACGGGACAGAGAGTCAGTGCCGCGTTCACGGGACAGAGAGTCAGTGCCACGTTCACGGGAAAGGGAGTCAGTGCCACGTTCACGGGACAGGGAGTCAGTGCCACGTTCACGGGGACATGGAGCCAGTACCACGTTCACAGGGACAGAGAGTCAGTGCCACCTTCACGGGCCATGGAGTCAGTGCCACGTTCACGGGACAGGGAGTCAGTGCCACGTTCACGGGACAGGGAGTCAGTGCCGCGTTCACGGGACAGGGAGTCAGTGCCACGTTCACAGGAAAGGGATTCAGTGCCACGTTCACGGGACAGGGAGTCAGTGCCACGTTCACGGGGGCATGGAGCCAGTACCACGTTCACAGGGTCAGAGAGTCAGAGCCACGTTCACGGACCATGGAGTCAGTGTCACGTTCACGGGACATGGATTCAGTGTCACGTGCACGGGTCATGAAGTCGGTGCCACGTTCACATGGTAGGGAATCAGCGTCACGTTCACGGGACAGGGAGTCAGTGCCACGTTCACGGGGACAGGAAACCAGTGCCGCGTTTACGGGGACATGGAGTCAGTGCCACGTTCACAGGGACATGGAGCCAGTGCCACGTTTACAGGTACTTGTTGACTCACTCTATTTCACAGATAAAAGTGCCCAAATTGCTGCAGATGAAGTCGTTCCATTGGTAGTTGGATACTCCATACAATCCCAGACAGTCCTCTCCTGCAATACACAGACATTATGACAGGACAGTGTCAGTAATACCAGTAGCAGCAGCCACACTAGTAATTACAGCAGTAGTAGTAGAAGTAGTTGTTTTATTAGTAGTCGTAGTCAGAGTAGTAGTCATAACAGTACTGGCAGGAGTAGTAGTGGTGGTGGTAGCAATTGTGGCAGCAGCAGTTGTTGTAATAGTAGAAGTGGTAGCAGCATAAGCAGTAACAGACGTAGTAGCAGTTGCTGTTGTAACAGTATAAATAACAGTGTTCGTAGTTGTAACAGCACTAGCAGTTTAAGCAGCAGGGGCAGTAGTAATGATAGTAGCTGCGATAGTAGTAATAACAACAGAAGTAGTGGTAGCAGTAGTAGTACTATCAGCAGCAGCAGTAGTAGGAGCAGTAGTAGTACTAGCAGCAGCAGTAGTAGTGATAGCAGCAACAGCAGTAAAAGTAATAACAGCAGCAGTAGTAGTAGCGGCATCAGTAGTAGAAGCAGTTGTAGCAGAAGTAACAGTAGTAGTAGCAGTGGCATCAAATGTGGTAGTTGTAGCAGCAGCAGCAGCAGCAGCAGCAGCTGTCACCTGCACTGTCGTCTGGCTGACCCGGCGCCCAGTCCAGGAAGTTAAATATCCTGTGTCCGGTAGACAGCCACAACCAGGTGCCCTCATTGAAGACATCGGTCCCACCGATCCACACGGCGCCACCTGGTGGGTAGAGAACAGGTAGTTACCATCACTTGACTTACCCTTTACACGTTGGTCTGTTCATCTGTTTGCAGGTCTGTTGGTTGATTGGGTTATAAGCTGGTTCTTTGGTCGGTTGACAGATTAAGGGTCTAATTATTTTAAGTTCGGCTTCAAGTCTAAACTTATTCGATCCTTTCGAAATAACTTGTTAAAGGAGGTTAGTAACCCTAATGAAAGCTATCACGCAGTAGAAACCAACCTCCATGAGTATCATACATTTGTACCTTTACTGAGGTTTAAACAGGCCAGATCGCTTCATGTTGGCAGCATACAGTTGACGGCGGTAGAGTTGGCTAGCATTTTCAAGTGCCAGGTTGCACGTTTTTGTGTTTCCTACAACGAAGAACTAGAATATAACATTACATAACCCTTGACCTGTTGTGTCGTGGAGGTGTATCGATGGAAGCACTGGCACACAGAGCCAGCAGCTTTATCTGACGTCCACTTATTGAACAAGTGTATAATAACTTAGTTCTTTTCATTTCTCTATGTTTTTATTCCAGGTTCTTCTTTGCCCCATCTTATCGCCCAGCCCCTTTTTTTTTTTAAATTTCGACTTACACTCCCCAAATCCCTCACTGTTCCTTAACCTTACCAGACCTGAGGCCCTGAATCTAACTGTCCCCTGTACCTGAGTTTCTGAGCATCAACACGAAAAAACCAACAGGATATACGAAAATATTAGTTACATGCAAACAAATGCTTATAATAAGATGGAACTTGGAGACATTGTAGAAAATAGGTTTACCTTTTATCTAGCGACAATATTCTACCTTAGTGTGCCAATCCACCTAGCAGGTTCGGCCTTGTTTCACAAAGTGAGCACCAGATGTTGCTTTTTGAGGGACATGCCCCCTTCTCTTACTATCGCACTAGTTTTAGATCTATAATCTTTAAGATTCTCCTTATCACTCGCGCACCCAATGACTGTGTCACTTAACTGTGAACGTATTTTTCATGAAATTCTGACTCCTCAGAGTCTGAGTTAACCAAAGTATCGATCACCTGTTGGACTGTGAAAAGCCTAGACCTACTTTACTCTCCTGTCGAAGTGCCTGGTTCATCAGCCGCTCGTTTCATTGTGAATTTTCAGAGTTTTCTTTCCACGTCAAAACACACAAAGAAAATCCAAACACAAGTGGGCAGGCAGTAAATTCGCCATGACTAACCACGAGGTCTGACCAAGATTGACTAGTTATTTTTAGTTTGTGACGCATTGTTTTCACACAGTGCGCAAAATACTGACAATGAGGGACACCGGTTTAGCGGCAGATTAAACAATTACCAAAATAGCGGTACATCGGTCTGGTAGAGTTAAAGTACAGCCTTTGCAACCGAATCATTCATCTCTCACTACGTTCCCGAACCAAGCTAGCTTGTGAAGTTTTACCACTGCCAAGAGAGGCTCCTGATGTGCTGCAAATTTGTTTATTTGGTCTCTGACATGTTTGTTAGTTTTATGTTTTAAACAGCTAATTCTTAAAATTTGTCTGTAGCATTTACATTTAAAATCCTAAATCCGCCTTATCGTGTCCCTAGTAAGTGTCCAACTCTCACATCCGTACAAACAGAAGCCTAAATCCGCCTTGTCGTGTCCCTAGTAAGTGTCCAACTCTCACATCCGTGCAAACAAAAGCCTGAATCCGCCTTGTCGTGTCCCTAGTAAGTGTCCAACTCTCACATCCGTGCAAACAAAAGCCTGAATCCGCCTTGTCGTGTCCCTAGTAAGTGTCCAACTCTCACATCCGTGCAAACAAAAGCCTGAATCCGCCTTGTCGTGTCCCTAGTAAGTGTCCAACTCTCACATCCGTGCAAACAAAAGCCTGAATCCGCCTTGTCGTGTCCCTAGTAAGTGTCCAACTCTCACATCCGTGCAAACAAAAGCCTGAATCCGCCTTGTCCGGTCTCCAGTAAGTGTCCAACTCTCACATCAGTACGAATAAAAGCTAAACAACTCATTGAGTTGCAAATATTGTTCTTTCCACTCTGCTGATATGGCAACACACAAATGTTGACTGAAATGATAAGATACAAATGTTGGCTGATATGGCAACATACAAATGTTGACTGATACGATAACATACAAATGTTGACCAAGTGTGTTGTGTCCTGTCCTTAGTCTGAATGTGACGCAATGTCACAGAGAGGAGATGAAGCCAGTTTTGTATAAAACATTTTGTTAGGTTTTTCATCCATCTTTCTTGGATACTAGTTTGTATCGATAACGCCTGAGGAGTTCAGTCACAGTTTGATTGCCTGTTGCCACTAAGGATTGACTGACCAGGAGCTGATCAAGTTGTTCTATATGGCTCTGAAACTTAGAGTACGGCTAACGATGATGAAGCCTTATTAAAGAATTTTAGAAACAGGAATTTGTGATAAGTCTTTAGACCCATTAGAGATACAAAAGAGAGAGGAATGGAGTGGGACAAGCAGCAACGAAATGTATGTGTTTAAATTATCAATGATCACTTGCATCAGTTGGAATAATGGACTGCAATAGCTGGGTCACATTGAGAGAATGTCAGATCACAGAGAGGTAAAAACTGTGCACACAAGCGAGACCATGAGGCACAAATCACAGAGAGGTAAAAACTGTGCACACAAGCGAGACCATGAGGCACAGATCACAGAGAGGGTAAAAAAAACTGTGCAACACAAGCGAGACCTTGAGGCACAGATCACAGAGAGGTAAAAACTGTGCACATAAGCGAGACCATGAGGCACAGATCACAGAGAGGTAAAAACTGTGCACACAAGCGAGACCATGAGGCACAGATCACAGAGAGGTAAAAACTGTGCACACAAGCGAGACCATGAGGCACAGATCACAGAGAGGTAAAAACTGTACACACAAGCGAGACCATGAGGCACAGATCACAGAGAGGTAAAAACTGTACACACAAGCGAGACCATGAGGCACAGATCACAGAGAGGTAAAAACTGTGCACACAAGCGAGACCATGAGGCAGACCAAGAAGATCGTGCAGAGATAATATAGAGGAAGACCTGTAAATACTTCGAAACATCAACAGAAAAGAGAGGATTAATCAAACAGGAGAATTGATATAGGTGATATCTGCAACAAGGAACCTCAGGGGCTCGAAATGTTGAAGAAGAAGAAGAAAGAAAACAAATTAAAATGTCTCTGACGCTTCTGTAAAAATCTGGAAGTGGAAGTGTCATACTGCAATCAAATTTGCCGTTGTCCAAACAAACATCAACATTTTTTCCATGTTTAAGTGTCTTCTTGTATCTTCTTCGGGTGCTGGCTATGGTGTCTTCTTGTATCTTCTTCGGGTGCTGGCTATGGTGTCTTCTTGATCTTCGTGTTCACCGACTGTAAACTTCGTCTGAGAATTCTGGTCGTTCGTCCACTTTTAGACTTTAGTCTTGTTCCTAAAGCTGAATTTTGCGTTTACGCACATTTTACATATCTTGGCTTATTTGTACGCAGACCTTTGGTTCCTTGCCTCTCAAGTAGATGCACCCCCCACTTCAAAGGAATCCTCTAACTAGTAAAATATTACGACACACTTGCTAGAAAGCATTGAGTCTCTCCCCTCCCCCCCCCTTTTCCACCCTCCACCCCAGTAGGGCCCCGGAGTCCACAGGGACTTGTTTACAATCCACTCACTTGATTTATTTCTGGCGATCGACTTGAGAAAGTTGTTCTCGGTAGCACTGTCAATCTCTGCCAGATGGGCCGAGTAAAACTTGCACATTTCCTGCACACACAGACAGACAGTCAGACAGACTGACAGACTGACTGACAGGACAGGTGTGTCAGTATATACAATATAGTATATTATTATTGTTTAGTTGAGTTGCCCGAAAATATGGATAAAATATGGATGGGGGAAGCAAAGAGAGGCTCGACAACAAAATATGGATTGAGAAGCAAAGAGAGGCTCGACAACAAAATATGGATGGGGGAAGCAAAGAGAGACTAGACAACAAAATGTGGATAGAGAAGCAAAGAGAGGCTCGACAACAAAATATGGATGGGGGAAGCAAAGAGAGACTAGACAACAAAATGTGGATAGAGAAGCAAAGAGAGGCTCGACAACAAAATATGGATGGGGGAAGCAAAGAGAGGCTCGACAACAAAATATGGATGGGGGAAGCAGAGAGAGACTAGACAACAAAATATGGATTGGGGAAGCAGAGAGAGGCTCGACAACAAAATATGGATGGGGGAAGCAAAGAGAGGCTCGACAACAAAATATGGATGGGGGAAGCAGAGAGAGGCTCGACAACAAAATATGGATTGGGGAAGCAAGGAGAGGATAGACAACAAAATATGGATGGGGGAAGCAGAGAGAGGCTAGACAACAAAATATGGATGGGGGAAGCTAAGAGAGGATAGACAACAAAATATGGATGGAGGAAGCAGAGATAGGCTCGACAACAAAATATGGATGGAGGAAGTAGGGAGAGGCTAGACAAGAAAATATGGATGGGGGAAGTAGAGATAGGCTCGACAACAAAATATGGATGGAGGAAGCAGAGATAGGCTCGACAACAAAATATGGATGGAGGAAGCAGAGATAGGCTCGACAACAAAATATGGATGGAGGAAGTAGGGAGAGGCTAGACAACAAAATGTGGATAGAGAAGCAAAGAGAGGATAGACAACAAAATATGGATGGGGGAAGCATAGAGAGGTTAGACAACAAAATATGGATGGAGGAAAGCAAAGAGAGGCGCAACAACAAATGTTGATGAAAGTATCCAAAAGTGCCAGGCTGCATTCTACAAGGTCCGACAATTAATTAAGCAATGAGACTGATTTTATTATAGCCAAGACAAAAATAACATATATGAAGCAAAGCATAGAATCTAAAAAGGCAACATTCATCTATGATCTGGCAAATGCATCGCCGCTTGATAAGCAGAAAACAAAGAAGCTGCTATTTTGTTTACCTAGTCAGAGGTGCATTGCTACGTAATAGGCACGGATCGAAAAGCTAACGTTAAATTCTTTTTAAAACTCAGAAAAGGGGCAATGGAAACAGTGGAATTGTATAACAAGTTTATGGGGATAATAGTTAATCTACTGCACACATTTTCAAGTGGTATTAACGATTTAAAAGTGGTGTGGAAATGATTACTAATGTATCTAGACCTGGACGCCAAGTTTATGTTTGTAATGATGAAATTATTGCAAAAGTCAGAGAACGGATAATAGAAGCACATTGTTTTACTGTGAGGATGATGGCAGATGAATCTGGTGTCAATACAGAGAGACTATTCATACCATTTTAGTGCACGGTTTTAGCAAGAAAAAAGTCGTTTGCCGGTTTGTACTACATTCGTTGTCTGATGACCAAAAACATCAGCGGGTTGAGTACCCAAGGGACATCATCAAAACAAGAATTTTTGGCCCAAAAAACAAGTGTGTGTTCTCAGCCTTCAACCCTATTCACCAGATTTGTCTCCCTTTGATTTTTTTCTATTCCCAAAATCAGAGTTCTGATTGAAAGGACGCTTCTTTAACGATACTGATGACATCCTGGGGGCCATACGAACAGAAGAACTACAGAGGTTGTTCCAGTGTTTGTTAGATCGTGCTACTTGCTGTGTCAATGCACAGCCTACTCTAAATAAAATACAAGTTATATCTTCAACCGTTAATTATTTTAGTTTTTCTTGGCATTAGTCTCTTTACTTAATTGTCAGACATTGCATACAAAACTTTGAAAATACTGTACACGATATAAGAGAATCGATGAATCGATTGGCAGTTCCTTCCTTTTTAGGACGAAATGTTTTGTCATTTGAAGCCCCACCCTGGTTTTTTCAGGGGCCGCAATATAGGCAGGCCATAAATATGGCCAATTGTCTGAACGCGGTTTCTGGGACCTCTCCACGGCGATCCTCATCCACATGGTGGCACTTTGTGTCATCGGGTGTTTATAGCTTTTGTGATGTCCTAGTGGGGTAGAAAGTCAAGTCAGTCAAGTCGACTGGCAAATTGTGTGTGTGTGTGTTTGTAACAGTAAAAGAAGAAGAAACTGGCACATTTTTTTTAAATCCTGTCATTCCTATTTGGGATGCAATTTTTCGTTATGTGACGCCCTACTCTAATACCAGGGGCCGCAATAAAGCCCAGCTTTAAATATGGTTTAATGGCTAAACGCGGTTTCTGGGACCTCTCTACTGGCGATCCTCATCCACATGGTGACACTTTGTGTCATCAGGTGTTTATCGCTTGTGTAATGTCCTGGTGGGGTAAAAGAAGATAGATCGACTGGCAGTTCTAGAGGAGGTATAAGCGACACTGCAGAATATTTGGCGGGTATATGTGTAAATATTTAAATATATATATAGGTTCGTGTGTATGTGTGTGTTTCCGTGCGTATGTGTGCGTGTTATGTCCTTATAAATTGTAAATAAAGGCATAGCAAACATTGGGTTGCACATACAAATGTACAGCTTTAAATTTATATAGGTAAGTAAGTTATTTGTACCCCACCAGGACATCACACAAGGTAAGTAGGTTATTTGTACCCCACCAGGACATCACACAAGCGATAAACACCCGGTAACACAAAGTGCCACTAGGATCACTCGTGGAGAGGTCCTGGAATCCCGGTTCAGCCGTTAGGCGCCATATTTATGCCCCTCCTATATTTAGGTTCTAAACACAAGCCAGGGTGATGTTTCAAATAACGAAAAATTGAATCCCACACGGGGGCGACTTGTTTTAAAAAAAAAAAAATTGAAAGTCATAAATTAACTACAATCTGGGATATGGTCACTTCCTGTCCTCACCCCCCCCCCTCCCCCGCCCCTTTTCCCCCATGAATCTAGAATTAATTAAATACCTAATTCTCTGTTGTAACGACAGAGGATTTGAACTTGCGACTTTTACCTCTGCAGCTGCAAATGTCACCATGGATTCCCCATAGGCGTAGCATGACTGGGCAAAGTGATACCAGCCTGGGTTACACTGCGCCAGCACGTCTGTAACATCGTCGCCACGCCAGCAAAGAGACAGGCATATAATAAACATCATCAGTCGAATGCTCAATAAACAAATGGAAACACAAAACAGGCGTGACGACACAAACCTCTACTTCTAATTTATGTCCCTTTACTCACAGTTCCAGGGTTACTGTTTTTGCTGTCAGGTCGGGCCAACATTCTCTACAAACACTGCATATTTTCGCCATTATCATCATCATCATCATCACCATCATCATCACCATCATCATCCTCAACATTATTATCATTTTCTTCTTCACGTTCAGCAGCGGAAATTGATGACTGTTGTCCACCTCTGGATTTACGTCTTGTCCTAGAACCTC